AAAGGAATGCTTGGTATGTAAAGATGTCAGTTCTCTCTCCAGAATTACCTGTGCATTTGATCAGTTCCCATTGAAATCCCAACAGGATTTTTTGTGGGAAATGACAAACTGATTATAAAATTTAGGTGGAAGTGTAAAGGACCAAGAACAAGGATGATGTTCCTGAACAAAGACAAACGTTGGGGCACTTGCACTACTTAAACAGATAAGAGGAGGCTATACTAATTAAATCTCTGCTATTGTTATAGGGATAGAAATAGAATACCTACCAAGAAACAATGGACAGTTTATTAAATGATTCTTAGACAAGTGATTATCCATAGAGGATAAAATTGAATTCTTCCCTCATAAAAAAAAAAATCAGTTCTAAGTAGATTCAAACTTAAATATGAAAGGTATGGAACTATAAAACTTTAGAAGATAAGGTAGAGGAATGTATTTGTGATCTCAGAGAAATATTTCTAAAGATGCAAAAAGCACAAAACAAAGGAAAGATTGCTAAATTGGGACTACCAAGATTTAAAAATTTTCATCAAAAACATAATAGAATGAGAAATGAGCTTCAACATAGGAGTTGCAAGATGTAACTTTCCTAAGGTTAAAATACTGTTGCAGGGGTCCTCAAACTTTTTAAACAGGGGGCCAGTTCACTGTCCCTCAGACCGTTGAAGGGCCGGACTGCGGCCCCGGGACGAGTCAGCTGCTAAGCAGGACAGGCAGCCTTGGCAAAAACACCCGGTGGACTAGATAAATGTCCTAGGCGGGCTGCATGTGGCCTGCGGGCCGTAGTTTGAGGATGCCTGATTAAAAGCTTGAAGGACTCTTACGAATCAATCAGAAAAAGACAATCCAGGGCAACACTATAGCAAAGACAGGAACAGGCATTTCACAGATGTGACTCATAAACTTAAAATAGATGCTCAATCTTTTTAATAACTGGGGAATTATAAGTTAAAACCACAATATAATTTATCACCGACCAGCTTGGCAAATGTTAATATGTCGGGCACTACCGAGGGTTGGCCAGAATGTGGAGTTTAAGGAACTTTCTCACACAGCTGAGGGGACTGGAAATTAGTGAAACCACTTTGTATAAACAAGTCAGCAGTGCTTAGTGAAGATGAATGTGCATAACCCTGTGACCAAATAATTCCACTCTTACGAAATTCCAACACATGGCCACTAAGAGACATAGACAAGAATATTACAGCAGCATTGTGAATGATGGCAGAAATGGAAACAACCCACATGTTCATCAGCAGTGAAATGCATATATAAATTATGATGGAATTAAGCAATGAAACAGCATCAAGCAGTGAACTAAATGAGTGAATTGCAATTACAGGCATCAGCAGGGATGAGTTGTAACAAAACTTTGAGTGAGAAGAACAAGCTTCAGAAGAATAAATATATGGGCTCGGCGCCTGTGGCTCAAGCGGCTAAGGCGCCAGCCACATACACCTAAGGCGGTGGGTTCGAATCCCCAGCCCGGGCCCGCCAAACAACAGTGATGGCTGCAACCAAAAAATGGCCAGGCGTTGTGTCGGGCGCCTGTAGTGCCAGCTACTTGGGAGGCTGAGGCAGGAGACTCGCTTGAGCCCAGGAGTTGGAGGTTGCTGTGAGCTGTAATGCCACGGCACTCTACCCAGGGGGACAGCTTGAGGCTCTGTTTCAAAAAAAAAAAAAAAAAAAAAAAAAAATATATGTAGATCTGTATAGGTTTTAAACATATCCAAATAATGTATTATTAATACATAATTGCTAAAATAAGCAAATCAAGGAAATGATTAATACAAAATCCAGGACAGTGATCATTAGGAGAGGAGGAGGCACAATGGGGGTGGGATATATATGGCATTAGGATAAGGGTCCTCGGGGAAGCTTTGGGGTGACTGTAAAGTTCTAGTTCTCAGGCAGAATAATGGGTAGATGGGTATTTTAAAACTTTTTAAATTGTACGTATACATTTTATATCCTCCTTGTATATTTAAGAAATATAATCTGTAGTAGTTTTAAGAAATGGTAGGAAATGTTTTGAGATTAGTTAAAAGTGGATTAAGATATTGAAAATTCAGAAAGATTGGAAATTATTTCCTAAGAGTATTTGGATAAGATATGGTTTTCTAAGTTAAGCTTTCTCCATTATGTCACTTTTGGAGTCCGAGTTAGAGGGAAGTACAGAGAGAGACCCCCAAGAGCATCTCTGGCAAAGTAGCTTAAGAAGAGTAGAAGAAGCCCGTTCCTACTCTGCGACTGCTGCTCTTCCTGCATCATCCTTCATCTCCTTAGGTCTTTAGTCATTGACTCCCAAGTCCAGGACCTTGTCTTGGGGGCTGAGTAGACAGAAGAGGTAATGTCTGTCTGGGCATTTACTACATTTTTCAAAGTTATGCTTAGAAACTTTGTTAGTATTATCCTCCTAAACTAACCCTTTATCAAAATTCACTTCCAGTCCATGTCATAATCCCTTTATGAAATCTTTTTTGTAACACAACTTATTTATATGTTTAGACAACTTAATTCAATTTTACGATTTCCAATATCCTTTCTGGTTTAACTTCAGTTAATAGTCCAATTCTCGTATGTATTTATTACAGTTGTTTTTCCTTCCCATACAAACTGAGATTCTCTTTATGTGCTTTAACTAGAATTGACCTCGATGTCAATTTGATTGGTTTTTACCTTTCTATATGTATTTTTGAGGCTTGAAATTAGATCAGATCTTAAATCTAAACCTTGAATTAAAACAGCATTTTCAAGAGCATCGCAAACATACTGCTAGAGAATATTAGGTAGGACAAAAGTAAACTTTTTATTTAATGGTCATGTAGTTATTTTAATGTTATTATAAAATATATGCATGAAACCTGTGATTTCTTTCTTTCTTTCTTTCTTTTTTTTAATAGACAGAGTCTTACTTTGTTGTCCCTGGTAGAGGGCTGTGGTGTCACAGCTTACAGCAACCTCCAGCTCTTGGGCTTAGGCAATTCTCTTGCCTCAGCCTTCCGAGTAGCTGGGACTACAGGCGGCCCGCCACAGCACCTGGCTATTTTTTTGTTGCAGTTTGGCCTGGGCAGGGTTTGAACCCACCACCCTCAGTATATGGGGCCAGCACCCTACTCACTGAGCCATAGGCACCACCCAAAACCTGTGATTTCATAGTTATTATTGCTTCTGATGGAACTAAAGTAATGTGTACGATAATCCATCTCACATAGATCGCATGAATTAATGGATTACAGATGTGGTGTTATAAAGACAATTAACTATTCTCTTTGATGACTACTCTTTCCTACTTATAATTCTCAAAAAATGAAGTTTATGTGGTTTGATTAAAAACAGCAATCTAGAAAATTCATCTGGCCAAATAATTTGTTCAAATGCATATTCTATTACAGGATGGGTTCTGGAAATAAAAAGACAAATAAGATGTAGGTCCTACGCTTCAGAAGTACCAGTATAACAGAGATAGGCAAATAAGTTAGAAATTGCAATATAGGATAGTAAGTGCAACAGTGGAAATATTCATATGCACAAGGTAAACGGTAGCCTGGAAAGGTAGTTACTGACTTAGGGGTACTTGCAAGCAGACTTGGGAGATGAACAGAAAATTTACAGAAACGTGTCGTTGGGAAAAGGAGACCTGGGAAAGGCACTTGGCAAGGTATGGAGACCTACAGGAACTCTGTGTATTGGGTTAACCATGAGCAGCTCATTGCTTATGCAAGTGGAAGGTGGAAGGAGAGAGCAGCAGGAGCCAGGTGGGAAAGCTCTTGGATGGAAAAGGCAGGCATTTGTTTACATCTCATTCTGGGAGTGATTATCAGTGTTTGAAAGATTTCAAGAAGAATGACATGCTCTCGGAGGGCAACGCCGAAGGTGGATTAGAGGGGAAGAATCAGAATCACATTACAGCTAGTTATTGGACAGAGGGAAAATGGAAAGAAGTTACGGGAGAAGATTAGAGTTTCTGCTTTGTTTAGGTGTATACGATTTGCGGGAAATTAGGTTACACCTTGACTTTTCCCAGAATTTAATGTGCTGTAAGGGATAGCAAAGGTGATTTGGAGCCAGTATGTAAAGTTTCTGAAAAATTGTATTATTCGGTCTTTATTACAAACAAACATTAATTAACTTTGCCTATATGGTCTTAAAGGCAAACAGAGTTTTGTTTATTTTGTGTTAAAATACTACAGCAGGCATCATATAAAAGTCAAGCAGAGATGTGGTGTTGATGAGCCACATAGCTGCAAACAAGTTTTATTTTCCAATTAAAGTGGCACATATGGTAATAAACTGCAGAGATCATAGAATAAAACATTTAAACTTTTTTGCAGTTAACACCCTGCCAAGAAAATTTCGGACAGCAGTGTTATTTAAAGGGAATTAGGTGGGCATTTTATCTGTTTATAAAAGACTCCTTTAAATATGGATTTTAGAAGTGAATGTTCCACGTAATTTAATTTTGGCATATTGTTTACTTCTGGGCATATTTACTATTAAATCTTAGACTTAGTAGTCTTTAGATTTGGTGTATATTACTCTACCTTCCAGAGAAACGCACTGGTATGCCAGATTATTTTTGTACCTTTAGTGTAGCATAATATATTATGCCTCATATTTATTTGGGACTATCCTAACACTTGGGGATGTAGCTTAACTAATTTGCTAACATCCATAAGGTATGTGTTTTTAGCCTTTTAGTATCGTAGCCTATCAGAAAGCTGTGACTCTGATTGAGGAATTAACTTTAACATCTTACCAGAAATGACCCAGAAGCATCAAAAAGGGTAGTTCATGCAAAGAGTACGTAGAGATGTCCAGAAAGGAAGTTAACATTACTTGATAATGTAACTTTGTAATAGGAACTGCGGAAATGAAGGGACCACAAATGACCTTGACTCTTATGAAACTTGATTTGTATTTGAGGAAATGTTTTCTACACTCTTGTCATCACATTCTTCTGAAGAATTAATTCCTTATTTTCTATTTTGACACAGAAATCCCCTGCAAAGAAGCTGAGCCATGCAATTAGTAAATCTTTGGGATGTGTGCCCACGAGAGAACCCCCGCACCCTGTTTTTCCTGAGCAACCAGAGAAACCACTTGACCTTGCACATATAGTGTAAGTATAAACCTGGGTGTGGATCCTACTAAAGGGGGGGCCTTTGAATCAAAACCAAATATCACCAAAGATGTTACTTTCTGGGTTAATTTTTGTTGTTTGTTTTTTGATGTAACTTTCTGGGTTAATTTTTGTTGTTTGTTTTTTGAGACAAAGTTGGGTAGAATGTCATGGTGTCATAGCTCACAACAACCTCACACTCTGGGGCTCAAGCAATTCTCTTACCTCAGCCTTCCAAGTAGCTGGGACTACAGGTGCCAGCCACAACTCACAGCTATTTTTTTTAGAGATGAGGTCTTGCTCTAGCTCAGGGCAGTCTAGAACTGGTGAACTCAGGCAATCCATCCGCCTCAGCCTCCCAGAACTTTCTGGTTTTTAATGTGCCTTTTGGAGAACTTAGACTTCAAGCTTCCCTTTCTTTAAATTGCCATAAATATCTGCGTGGAAACTTGGCTCTCAATTCTTGAAGTGTAAGTAATGTAGTTTGTAGAAGCATGAGTCCGTTGAGTAGTGATTTTTGTGCAAGTTTTAAGGTGGATTGCCTTTTATTGCTTTTATGTTCTTGCCTTAGATCAGTCGTAGAGATCATTTCTTCTGTACAGTGGTGATACCCTTAGAGACTTGAATTGATTTAGACAACATGGAAATGAAATCAACTTAATTTGCTCTTTCATAGGGAAAGAAAATCAGGAAACACAAGACTATATTTTACAAATAAAACTAGAGTTATGTATATATGTGTGTGTGTATATATATATATTTGGTTGAACGTTCATGCTAAATAAAGTAAAAGTAAAGGGAAAAAAATTAGAGAAATAGAGAAAGAGGAAGAAAAGTAGTGAAGGATAAGATCCAGTTTCTCACCTGATTTCTTCACTCTGAATTAAATGAGATACTAAGTTTGTTCTGGTGGATAAAGTTGGTAGGGTTGTGGATCATTAGTCTTTATCACATGTTTATTTTTTTGTTGGAGTGGACATACATTTTCTTTTACGTAGCTGTTAGAAGGTAGTTTGACTAAATGAGCTCTTGGGAATCTTGATCTTTTTTATTTTGGTTATTTAAAACTCTTATATTTATTAAAATAATACATGCATGTGGATTAAAAATTCAGTTATACAGGCTTGGTGTCCATAGCACAGTGGTTATGGTGCCGGCCACATACACTGAGGATGGCGGGTTTGAACCCAGCCTAGGCCAGCTAAACAATGACAACTGCAACAAAAACTAGCCAGGCATAGTGGCGGTTGTGTGTAGTCCCAGCTACTTGGGAAGCTGAGGCAAGAGAATCGCTTAAGCCCCAGAGTTTAAGGTTGCTGTGACCTGTGACACCACGGCACTCTACTGAGGGTGACATAATGAGACTCTGTCTCAAAAAAAAAAATTTTTTTTTTTTCAGTTATAGAGTAGCTTATAACGAACATCCTCCCACATCTCACAATCCTTTGGGTTTACTATTAGTTACTAATAATCTACGAGTGGTTACCTCTGTATTTCTGAATAGTATGTGTAGAGTGCCATTTCTTGGCTTAGAAGTTTTAGACATTATTGAATTTCTTTTTTAGTGTTAAGAATCAACTTCATTTATAACTCTATATACTAACCTATCCCAGTTTTTCATAATTGTATCACCATTTTTTAATTGGTTACCTTTATAATTTTAAATACAGTTCTCAAAACTCTACTTGTTATAACTTCTTTCCATTTCAGCTGGGTAAACTGAGAAAATCAGTACCTTCTGCTTGCCTCCTAACTTCTGCCATCTGTGCTATAACTTTTGTATTATCAACACTGATAATATTTCTGTTACCGTCTATGACCGTCCGCAAGTCTTCTGAGATTTATTAGAGTTTACATCTAAAAGTTGAAAACCGAGTAACAGCATTTATGGTTAATATCATTCATTACCCAAATAGGGTGCTGCGATTCTGTGTGTTCCTTTGTGTTGTTCACTGTTATAGTCCCTGTGCAGGTGCCGTCTCACAGGCGCTCACTGGGGTCTTCTTTCTTACGTACCACTGATTGCTCGAAATCACGCCTGTTGATTTTCTGACTGGGTTGACTTCCTTATACGGTTTTGGTGGTGGTGGTGGTTTTTTCTTCAGTTTCCCATTACTTTCTTTTTGTTGGGAGAAGATAGGCTCACCCCCCTCCCACTGTGTTCTATAGTACCATTATCTGTTGCTTATAATCCAGTTTTTGTCAAATTTGTTAACCTTTTCTCTTTTTGGTTAGTGTTTTTTATGTTATACTAAAGAAAGTCTATGCCTACCTCAACACGATCTGGTTTTTCTCCTTTGTTCTTTTCTTTACATTTTGAAGATGTCTCTTTTACGTATGTTTTTAATTCATCTGAAATGGATTTGTGTGTGTGGTGTGAGGTAGAACATCCAGTTCTCTCTCTCTTCCTCCTCTCCTCCCATCCTGATTTGAATAATAACTTGTCTCAGGACCATTTACTGAATCATTTCCGTATTGACCTACAGCATTGTCAAAAATGAAGTTTCCAAATATGCGCTGGGTGGTTTCTGAGCTCTTTCTTCTGTTCCTTTGGTCGAATTTGTCTATCCCTATACCAGTATCAGACAATACATGTTAATTACTTGAAGAGATTAAGTAATCTTTTTCAGAATTATCATTTAGTTACTCTTTTATATAAATTTTAGAATCAACTTTTGGAGCACTGCTGAAAATTTTATTAAGATTTTTGATGGGAGATTCATTGAATCTAAAGATCAAATTGGAGAAAATTGACTTCTTTCCGATATTAAATCACTCATTCTATGAATGTGTTTTGTCTTTGTATTTATTTAAATACCCTTTTATACCTTTAAATAAAGTTTTATGACATTTCCCCAGAAAAGTCTTGTGTGTACCTGCATTAGATTAATTCTAATCTAATATTCTAATCTAATAGAATATCTAATTCTAATCTAATATCTTGTATACTTTACATTTGTTGTTGCTCTCACAAATAGTAGCTTTTTTCCCTACACCTTTTTTGAAATATAATTTACATGCAATTGTGCACTTAAAGTGTACAATTTGATGGATTTTTGTAAATGTATATTATCATGCAAATGGAATATTTTTGAAATTCTATTTCTTAACAGTTTGTTAGTGGTATCCAGAAATGCAGTTTTGATAATTTAGTCCACTATGTAGCCATCTTTCTTAAATTGCTCCTTAATTCTGATAATTCATACTCAGACCTTTTGGGTTTTCTGTAAATAATTATATAATGCCAATAATGACAGTTTTGTTTCTTCCCTTCCATTCCTTATACTTAAAAAAATTAATCATACTTGGGGTCTCTGTGTGTGACACACCTTTTGGGGCAAGACAGACTTATAAGAGGGACTTTACCTAACAAATGCAATCAATGTAACCTGTTATCTTGTACCCTCCATGAATCCCCAACAATAAAAAAGATTAATCATACTTTTTGGGGATCTCACTGAGCTGGCTAGCATTTCTGGTGCTGTCTTGAATGGAAGTGGTTTGGTAGGGATTCTTGTGCTATTACTAATCCCAAAGAGAATGCTTTCAGCCTTCAATTAGTATGTGTTTGATGTAGGTTTTATGGGAGGTGTTTATCTGGTTAAAAAGATTCCCTTTCATTCTTAGTTGCTAAGAGTCCCTTCTTTAATTGTATGGTTTTCTTTTATTCTTTAGTGTATTGAATTACATTTTTTTTTAAACTACCCTTACCTTGGGCTGCATTTTGTTTGCTAATATTTTCTTTCTTTCTTTTTTTTTTGAGACAGAGTCTCACTTTGTTGCCCTCAATAGAGTGCTGTGTTGTCATAACTCACAGCAAACTCTTGGGCTTAAACGATTCTCTTGCCTCATTTTGTTTGCTAATATTTTCTTTCTTTCTTTTTTTTTTGAGACAGAGTCTCACTTTGTTGCCCTCGATAGAGTGCTGTGTTGTCATAACTCACAGCAAACTCTTGGCTTAAGTGATTCTCTTGCCTCAGCCTCCCAAGTAGCTGGGACTACAGTCACGCTTCACAACACCCAGGTATTTTTTGGTTGTAGTTGTTGTTTAGCGGGTCTGGGCTGGGCTTGAACCTGCCAGCCTTGGTGTATGTGGCTGACACCCTACTCATTTGAGCTACTAATATTTTGTTTGTTGAGTGAAATCAACTTGTAATTTCCCTTGTTTGGGGGGGATCTTTTTGTGTGTATGTGTGTTTACTGAGTTTGCTGTCTTCGAAAAGGACACTCTTTTTGAGGACTTTTGAGGAACATTCTCTCTGTTTTTTTGGAAGAACTCATTCAAGATTAGAGTTTTTTTTTTTTTAATTTTTGAGAAAACTCAACAATGGTGTTATCTGTGCCTAAATGCAGGAAGATTTTTAGCTTTTAATTCCAGTTTTTAAAACAATTGAAGACTATTTTTATTTTTTATTTATTTTTGAGTCACTTTGGAGTATTTTATATTTATAGGAATTTGCCAATTTCATCTCTGTTTTCGAAGTTATTGCCATAAAGTTCATTATATTTTATTATAAGTCTACAGTACATGTGTTAATAACCTTTTTTTATTTCTACCGTCATATATTTAGGGTCTCTCTCTCTCCTTTTTTTAACCTAACAAATCTTGACGTAGGTTTATTCAATCTATTAGACTTTTCAGAGAACCAACTTTTAGTTTTGATGATCTTTATTGTATGGTAATTCTTTTTCTAACTTCTTTAATGGCATGATTAGCCACTCGTTTCAGGTTTTGTTGTTTAGGGTTTTTTCTTTGTATGTGGGTATAAGCATTTCAGGTTACAAATTTCTCTGAACCCTGCCTGGGTAGTGTCCAGATTTTGTTATGTAGTATCTTTTGAATTGTTCCTGAGTACTTTCCAAGTTCATGTATGACTTCTTTGAGAAATATATCCAGACATATGGAGGTTTTCTTATTAATTTCTGACTTAATTTCATTTTGATTTAAAAAATGGTCTGTATTATTAAATCCTTTGAAATTTGTTGAGACATTTTTATTG